TTTTTGCTACATAAAAGTAACAAAAGATATTACAGATATTATATAGATATTATATAAACTAAATATTCATGTAACAACACCTCATAAAGAGCTCCAATTGTTTTAAAAAATAAGTACATGCATAATTTTTTTTTTATTTAGTTTTACTCTGCATAATGTACATATTCTAGGGCAAGGTAATAAATATGTAGTGCCATTTACTAAGCATTTTATGAATCTCACCGAATTAAGCACTCAAATCAAGCGATCATATAGCTAACAATATGAAGAAAGTGAAAGTGAAGTGACATGTGGCCATACTCAGAATTTGTGCCCTGCATTTAACCCATCCAAGTGCACACACAGCAGTGAGTAGCGAACACATACACACACCATGAACACACACCTGGAGCAGTGGGCAGCCATTTGCTGTGACACCCAGGGAGTAATTGAGGGTTCAGTGCCTTGCTCAAGGGCACCTCAGTCTTGAGTATTGAAGGTGGAAGAGAGCACTGTACATTCCTGCCGGTACTGAGACTCGAACCCACGACCTTTGGTTTACAAGTCCGACTCGTTAGCCCACGACTGCCCAAGAAAGTTTAAAAAAATCGAAAAAAGAACAGCTGTGTGCTAAACCTGAGGCTTCCACAGTCTCGAGGATGAGTAAATGATGACAGAATTTTCATTTTTGGGTGAACGAATCCTTTAAGGAGATTTCGGTAACACTTTACAATAAGGTTCATTAGTTAAACATTAGTTAATATATTAACTAACATGAACTAACCATGAGCAATACATTTGTTACTGTATTTACTAATCTACGCTAATGTTAGTTAATAAAAATACAGATGTTCATGTTAGTTCACAGTGCATTAACTAATGTTAACAAGATTTTAATAATGTATTAGTAAATGTTGAAATTAACATTAACAAAGATTAATAAACGCTGTATAAGTGCAGTTCATTATTAGTTCATGTTAACTAATGTAGTTAACTAATTAACCTTATTGTAAAGTGTTACCGAGATTTTTCAAATAATAAAAAAAATTTATGTGTACTAATTTACCAGCTTTGCAGACACTTCTTCATAACTAAAGAACATTATGCAAATCATGAGTGATGACAATCAACTTCAGAAACAGCTACAAATTAGCAGTGAAATTTTACTCCTGAAACATCTTTCTACCAATGCAACATGTACACTCTTAAAAATAAAGGTGCTTCACGATGCCATAGAAGAACCTTTTTGTCTAAATGGTTCCATAAAGAACCTTTAACATCGGAAGAACCTTTCTGTTTGACAAAAGGTTCTTTGTGGCGAAAGAAGGCTCTTCAGATTACAAAAAGGTAAGAAAGAGATGGTTCTTTTAAGAACCTTTGACTGAATGGTTCTTTGTGGAACCAAAAATGGTTCTTCTACGGCATCGCTTGAAGAACCTTTTGAAGCACCTTTATTTTTAAGAGTGTAGTCACATAAACCAGAACAGCTACAATCTGCACATATGCAAATAAAATAAATAAACATCTAATTTATGTTTTACTAATTAAAAAGAGAGAGAACAAAAATAAAAACTTAATTAATTGCCAGTGTTTCTGCACCCAAAGAGACACCAAACTGGCCCTATTCTTCATCTGTTGATTAACATCTGAGAGAATTAAAGTCACGCCTGGCTAATTTGGTTGTTGAAACTTCCAGTTATCAATGTGCACGTTAACGATCCATACTCAAAACCATAATCAGCAATACAGTGACTGGATGGCAACATATATTTAAATTAATGTAAAGCATAAGTCATCATACTTTAAATTTTTGATATTGATAGATGCCACAAGAATGAGCACAATTTTTTCTCAATTAATATTAGAAAGTTATTAATAATTTAAGCAAAAGTAACACTGCCAAAGCAACCAAAACAACAGAAGCCTTTTTACTCATGTATTTCAACAGGTTTTATATAAGGCCTATGCAGACTGTCAGCATTATTTTTAATGAAACAACAACCTCACTTTTACAGCTAATATAAGGCTTTTTTGGTTGGTTGGTTGGTTTGTTTGAGGGGGCACCTGACATGACCAAATAAACCAAAATGCTTTGTATGAGTAATACCCATGTATTTCAACAGGTTTTATATAAGGCCTATGCAGACTGTCAGCATTATTTTTAATGAAACAACAACCTCACTTTTACAGCTAATATAAGGCTTTTTTGGTTGGTTGGTTTGTTTGAGGGGGCACCTGACATGACCAAATAAACCAAAATGCTTTGTATGAGTAATACTCATTATCATTCAACAGTTTGGGGTCATTAAGATTTAAAATGTTACAAAACAAAATAAAATGTTATTTTATTTAAAATAAATGCTGTTCTTTTTAACTTTCTTTTAATCAAAGAATCCAGAAAAAATGATCACCGTTTTCACAAAAAAATTAAGCAGCAAAAATATTTTCAACATTGATAATAAGAAGAAATGTTTCTTGAGCACCAAATCAGTATTTTAGAATGATTTATGAACAACCATGAAGACTGGAGTAATGGCTGCTGAAAATTCTGCTTTGCCATCACAGAAATACATTTCATTTTTAAATATATTAAAACAGAAAACAGTTATTTTCAATTGTAATAATGCAAATAAATGCAGCTTTGGGGAGCATAAGAGACTTCTAAAACTTCAAAAACAAAAACAAAAAATCTTACCAACCCCAAACTTTTGAATGGAGGTGTATTATATAGCCTATTTTCATGTAATATAAAAGCTTATATAACCTACGCACAAACATTTGCGAAATTAGTGATGGTTTCCAAACAGGTTTGTTAAAGCTCAAACAATATTATTAATGAACCACAGAACCATAGTGTTTACACTCTTCAAGACAAAAATTAAAATAAACTAAAACATACAAAATGCTTACTAACAGTTGTCACTGCATTTTAAACTGAGATTGAAGAAAGTTCCTTAACATCATAATTTTTAAGATATTAGATTTCTGAAATGAAAGTAGAGGAGTAGTGAAAGGAGCTGATTGACAGACTCACCACTCAGTGTCCACAGGTGTGATGTCAATGCGAGGGGGTGTAATGAAAGGCAGTGTAGTTGGTCTTGCCATGAACCCGTCATCTGGACTGCGGGACCTCTCCGTCTGCCTCCATGATAAAGGAGGCAACTGTAGGTTACCGGAGAAACGGCGCCGCCCTCGCCGCAGGTCCACCCCCAGCGTGCAACCCGAAGAGGTGAAAGATTCACTTAGTCTGCATTCCGGAGGCTCTTTACTGTCCTGGAGTGAGAAAGAGAGGTAGGTAGTATAAAAATGCCATGCCAATGTCAGCAGCTAAGGCTATTTTGACGGCTGTATTGTACATGTTCTACCAGTTAAACAGGAGTTTAAAGAGAGAGAAAGAAACAAGAGGGTAAAAAGGGGAATTGCTTTCAGTGGACTAAATAATTTTAATGAATAATAAAAATTAAAAGCTTAGTTCACCCAAAAATGAAGATTCTGTCATTAATTACTCACCCTCATGTCGTTCCACACACCTAAGACCTTTGTTCATCTTCAGAACACAAATTAAAGGTGTCATATGATGCGATAAAAATTTTTCCTTTCTCTTTGGAGTGTTACAAGCTCTTGGTGCATAAAGAAGATCTGTAAAGTTGCAAAGACTAAAGTTTCAAATCCAAAGAGATATTCTTTATAAAAGTTAAGAGTCAACCACGCCCTCCTAAAACGGCTCGTTCTAACGCGCCCCTACATGTCTACGACACTGTGTGGGAAGATTTGCATAACGCCACCCAAATGTTCACGCAAAGAAAGAAGGTGTAACTTTTATTCTCGCTGTTGCCGCCGCTGCCATTTTGTGGAGTCGCTGTGTGTTTCGTTGTGAAAGCGAAACTACTTTGTTTGGCCTTCCAAAAGAGGACACAACTAGAAATCAGTGGTTAAGTTGTATTTACAACACTGTTCCAGAACACTTCAACCCAAATATTCAGATGTGTGCTGCGCATTTTATGGAGAATGGATGAGGACTGTTTCCTGAACCAGTAGCCTAATGCGTCTGTGGCACAAAGGCTGTCTATAAAGTTCTATAAAGTTGGGCAGTTCCAACTTTGCAAGGACAGTCTGGCGCTTCTGACTCACAGACTGTAAGTACGGTTTTTATATTTAAATAATTTGCGAGAATCAAACGCGTAGAAGTATAAGTCATTATAATCAGTAATTATGTCCCCACTGGATGCAACAAATGCTTCTTTTGTAATGGGTTTTATTGGTTTTGTCTCTTCTAGTGATGTCCGGATCGTGAACAAAATGTTCTATTTAACCGGATCTTCTTAGTGAACCGGTCGAACCAGTTCACCAAATCGAACTGAATCGTTTGAAACGGTAATCCACAAATTACTTAAATTATTCAGTTTATAAACGTGCCTGACACTCCCTCTGACGAGAAATAAACCAATATCCCGAGTTATTCAGTTACTCTTAACAGTACATTGACTGAACTGCTAAAAGAGAACCGATGATGGGATGTGCACGAGCAGAGCAGCTGAACTGAGTCTCGTCCTGCTGGGAGACGGCATCACAATATGGTAAGGGGCGTAACATTTCCGTCACAAGCTTGAGGCATTCGACCAATCACAAAGCACTGGATAGCGGGCCAATCAGAGCACACCTCACTTTTTTAGAACGATGAGCTTTGTACAAATTGACGCGTTTCAGAAAGGCGGGGCATAGAGGAGAAACAATAATGTACATTATATGGAAAATAATGTGTTTTTTTAACCTTAAACCGAATAAACACATTGCATTACACCAAATACACAACATAATGTTCTTTTTAGCAACGTCATATGACCCCTTTAAGATATTTTTGATCAAATCCGATGGCTCAGAGAGGCCTCTATTGACAGCAACGCCAACCAAACTTTCAAGATCCATAAAGGTACTAAAGACATTGTTAAAACAGTCGACGTGACTACAGTGGTTCTACAATAATTTTATGAAGTGACGAGAATACTTTTTGTGCACAAAAACAAAACAAAAATAATAACTTTATTCAGCAATCTCTTCTCTTCCCTGTCATTATCCTTATGCGGTTAACGCAGTAAGCACAGTGAAGGCTTCCGTGTTCTACGTCCGAACACCGGCTCATTATTTGCCTAAGCTGCACATGTGAGCAGCGCGACGCATGCGTGTGATGCTGATGCAGGAGCAGTCCAATAATGAGCCGGCGTTCTGATGTAGAACCTGGAAGCGCTGGACGTAAACAACGTATGAGAATGACACAGAAGAGAAGAGGTTGTTGAATAAAGTCGCTATTTTTGTTTTGTTTTTGCGCACAAAAATGATTCTCATCGCTTCATAAAATTATTGTAGAACCACTGTAGTCACGTCGACTGTTTTAACGACGTCTTTAGTACTTTTATGGATCTTGAGAGTTTGGGTGGCATTGCTGTCAATGGAGGCCTCTCTGAGTCATCGTATTTGATAAAAAAAATATCTTAATTTGTGTTCTGAAGATGAACGAAGGTCTTAAGGGTGTGGAACGACATGAGGGTGAGTAATTAATAACAGAATTTTCATTTTTGGGTGAACTAACCCTTTAAGACATTGTAAAGAATTTCTCACCACTAGAGTGAGCCAGCGCCTTTCACTCAACATTCAACTTCTATGTTTCTTGAAAATACATAAAATTACATTTAATAGAAGTCTGTTGTACAAACAAAAGCTCTAAATGTGGGAAAGGCTAAAAATAAACAGAAAATAGCGCTAATAAATATTTCAAATATTTGGATTAGACGTGTCAGGTAAATCTTCACAGTCAAATATATTCAGTATTCAAACGAGCACTGTTACAACACTAAAAACAAGCACAAAAAAAACGTGATATGGTACACTTGTGTTTTTTGTATGTGATATTTTTTTTATTTTTTTTGATAATGGTTAGCAAATACTGCTTAGCAAAAGTACTACCACCTAAAAGCCAATGTATTACCATTATACTTCCATTGTACATTTTGTAAGGAAAGGGAAAGACTGAAAACTCCGCCACAGAAATGAGATATGCTGTCGTCGTCGCCCTAATTAATTTTCCTTTACCACTGTGTTCCCACCTATCATTTGTGTATACTGAAAAACCATGACAAGCAGAGACTTCTTTCAATTTAGTCATCCTCATGAGGTGCACATAAAAACCAACATAAACACAACCAGTAGTCAGATTCACTAACAAATGACTCATATTTGCTGGTTCTAGTTTGAATCAGTCTGATGAATTCTTAACTGAGGTTATGCAATCTTTATTACACACATACATACATGTATGTGTAACTGTCACTGGGTGGTACCTTTCAAAAGGTACTAATATGTACACTTAATGTACTAATATGTACCATTTAGGGGTAAATAAGTTACAAAGATGTACCTTTTAGCTTTTGTATCTTAAAATACCAGCCCAGTGACTGATTTGTACTTGTTTTCTGAGAGTAAAGCAAAGATGTATAAAGAATGTAAAAGCATTTCATCATACCAGCAAAGAGACACATGCACATAGATAGTCCATGGGTTCTTAACCACAGGGCCAGGGCCCACAAGAGGGTCTCAGCTCACTACTAAAGGGAGCCTCCAGATGATTTAAAATGATTTAAAATAAGACAAAGCACATCTTTTTAAATTATGAACCAGTGAAAACCTGGATATACTGAATGAGGCTATTTTAAAAGTATGATTTTTAGACCTCAAAAAGTAGTGTAAATTAATCAAAGATTTAAGTCATTTTTTTATATTTAATTTTATATTTTATAAATACATTTATATATATTAACATTTATAATATTTTATCATTATATTTTTATGATAACTATAATAATTATATTTTTAAAGCTCTAAAAAATATTAGATAGAAATTGCTGTGAAATTGCTATTCATGAAGAAAAGAAAAAAAAGTAAATCACAACCGACTAGAAAAGTCATTTAAATTAGTGTAAATCCTAAAGAACATTCAATCTAGAATCATGGATTCATGGATTTATTATCATTATAATTATTATTTTAATTATAAAGTTATATATTATATATAATTATATATACGAAAAATTGCACATAAAATATATCTATAATATATAAGATACAAGATACCTTCTTTAATTTATGTTAATAAAACATTTACATAATCATTACAGCAGCACTACCAGAAACACCTTGAAGGCCCTTCAAATATTGTGTTTGACAATGGGGAGTCAAAAAAAGTTGAGAACTACTGACAGAAAAAGTGCTAACCAATAACACTGTGGTACCCAGGTGGTTTGAAAATTGCAGTACTAAAAAATAAATAAATAATAAGAATAATACATATATTTATGTATTTATTTATGTACTGTACAGTGTGTGTATGTATTTATTAATTTATTTTTCTAATTTCTAATTTACTTATATACAACATCCAATATTTAAGCTTTATGTATGTAAAAACATTAACACTATGCTGTGTGCTGTCCAACACAGTGGTAGTGAGCATGATGGGAAGATATGTGGGCAGCTGAAGATGTTTGATAGCAGACCAACACTGGCTGGAAAGCAAAAGAAACTCGCCAGCAACTGATATCATCAGTACAGCTGAGAAAAGAAGAGTGTTTCTGCATCATCTGTCAGGGACCACAAGAAAAAACTCTCAGAAGTGAACAGAGCTCCATGTTATGGAGAGGAACACCGTTGACCAGAGCTGTTAAAAAGCTCATCTAAACAGACAAAGCTGCAGAGCTCTGGATGCTATAAGAAAACACTCCTACACCCCTCTTATAGAACCAATTCAACGGGAGGATTTCCTCTAAAACAGAGCAGGTGGAGGCCAAATGATGCCCTAACCTAATAGAAAATGCATTACCGCAGATCAGATCTCCATACGTCGCCAAATTGTAGAAATATCTGTATAAGTCTTCCACTCGGCAACCCCACATATCTGATTTTTTTTCCTTCAAGCCTTTCCTTCTCTTAATGTAGCTCCTTTAACAGGGACTTTCATGTGCTTCACTTTGCTGTTTTAGTCCCTAAATGCAATGCTCACTTTGAATGCTGGGAACAATTTACTATCCTTCAGATCACATCCTGGGTGGATGAATCATGCTAAGAGTCTCAGAGTTGATTTCAACATTTCAAAATACTCTGACAGGGACGGTGCAAAAAAAAAAAGTTCAGAACTTTCCAAACACACGTATAGGGACACGCATCCAGTCCTTAAACATGTTATTTCTGACAAAACGCGTCCTGACTAGAGGTGATTAGAAACACAGATGTTACAGAGGCTTTCAAGCTTTAAATTGGAGTCAAAAGCACCATAAAACCAATATAAAAGTGATCTGTACAACCTATGTACTAATATATTCCTGAAGTCATAGAATAGGTGACAAAATTTAGTCACCATGAAATCAAAATTGACTATTCAAAATGGACTATTCTGTTTTTTTTATATAAAATTTTTTAGTTCATGTTTATTTTTTGTCAAGTAATAATTTTTTTAATAGTTCTTGTTTTAGTTTTAGTTAACGATATTAATCCTTCCCGTCACTCACATCATAGTGATTCGATTGCAGTAATAGCAAACAGAAACAATTCAATCAAATTTGGACAAATTCCCACCCTACTTTTAACAACGATCAATTCCCACACTATATTTTTTCTCATTTGAGAATCACAATAGAAAAGATGATCACAACTTCTGTTTCACGCTGATTTTAACCTGTTATTCACTGAAAATCTTGATATCTGGTCTATCTCTCCTTTAAGAGGGTACAAGAAGTGCTCTTCGTTTTGTGAATGAATTGAGTCAGAGCACAACATCAGTCACACTGATTCATTCATAAATCGGAATGATCCGAGGTAATTCAGTTGTGCATGGTAGTGGTAATCAGACTAACAGCTCACTGAAAGGGAAGATTTTCAGTTAATAATGATCTTAATTTTGGCTTGGTTCTCACACAAAGATATGTTATGACTTCAGAAGATTTGGAATATAGTACATTTTGACTACTTCTATGATACCTATGATGCTCTTTGTGTGTGTGTGTGTGTGTGTGTGTGTGTGTGTGTGTGTGTGTGTGTGTGTGTGTGTATATTTTTAGAGGAGTCAAATTTTACCTCGTAATGGGAAGGCTACTTTTTGATAACATTTTGGATTATTGATTAGAAGGTGCTCCTAAAATTTTGAACGTGCTCCTAAATTTTTTAAGTTAGGAGCACAAGTGCTCCTGAAAAGAAAAGTAAGCGTCGAGCCCTGCATTTTAATTTTGGGGTGAAATATTACTGTGTCCTTTAGACACATTTTTCAGATTCCCCACCAATCAATGGCAAATATGAAGATATTTTGCCGATTTAGATGCATCTATATGAGCTCATGTCGCCTGGCAAAGGACATAATCTTACATTAGCTCATGGAAAACGTATCATGTTGTGACTGGACAACTTCCTTCTAAATTGATGTGTTTGTGTGTGTGTGTATTTAGGCTTAAAATCTTAGGATTTACTTGTAGCTGCATCCAAAACAGCAACACATTTTAATTTTGGGGTGAAATATTACTGTGTCCTTTAGACACATTTTTCAGATTCCCCACCAATCAACGGCAAATATGAAGATATTTTGCCGATTTAGATGCATCTATATGAGCTCATGTCGCCTGGCAAAGGACATAATCTTACATTAGCTCATGGAAAACGTATCATGTTGTGACTGGACAACTTCCTTCTAAATTGATATTATCCAGCCCATTGGCCCAGCCCTGTCTGTGCGTCAGAAATACAGCGTTTTGTCCCCAAATTATCTCAGAGGGAGAGCACAGGAGCAGGACGGAGCAATCAGCCAGACCAGGGATGACCAAGGTGACCTCCTGAAATTCCCTGTGTCTGGAACACTCTGCGGTCAGCTCACAGCCAACGCCTGCAGTCACCCGAGACCACTTTCTTTTTTTAATTCATTAGACTAATGCAAAGTCGCTTCTAGCTATAAAACAGCCCTGTGCTCTACGGACAACCTTTTCACCTTCAAACTAAAATTACCCAAAGCACAGGCACTCAAACAAAATACCTTCGACCATGTGGTGCTTGACTCTCTTTGACTTTGTTTGAAAGAAAAAAACTTAAGAGAAAAGTGCTTCATCACACACAGAACATTTATGGACTAAACAGCACAAGATATGATTGTCAAAATATAAAATATTCAGTAGTGCAGCAGTTCTCATTTCCAGTCCTGGCGACTCATCACTCTGTGCATTTTCCATGTCTCTTTTATCTGACATATTTAGTTCAGTTCATGGAGTTCAATAAAATTCTACAAAATTAACCACTGCTGCAGTCGATAACAATAACAGTATAGTTTCACAGAATTCAACACGAGAACAAAAAACTAATGTTACTGAACAATCTCTCCTTTATTTTAAATGTTATGTAATAAATAATAATAATAATGTTATTAATAATCATTACATTAAAAATAATCCAATGTAGTTTAAGTATTTTCCAGTAAGTAATTATTATTATTATTATTGTTATTATTATTATTATTATTAGTTATTGCATTATTATTATTATTGTTCAATATTAAAACTGAATAATGACAACCATTATTTATATTGTTGTTTAATACTAAAATGTGTTATTTAAAGTAACAGTAATAATGATAATAATAATAATAAAATGCAGTTTTCAAGTATTTTCCATATTAATGCTTAAGTTAATATTGAATAATGACAATTATTATTAATACTGTTGTTTAATACCAATAACAATATATAAATTACCACCTCACCAAAATGGGTATTTTGTGCATTTGATGGTTTGGGGATTTGAAAGTCCTCACATGTCAGTCAAACAGTCCTCGGCTACAGAACTGAGTCGGTACTGCACTGTATGAAGACTGCTATTGTTACTTTTTCACATTTTGAAATTCCTAGCATATGTCTACAGTAAAATGATTCTATATACAAAACTCAAGTGTAAAGAAGACATACTTTCATAACTTAATTATATGTAATCCTATAACAAATCCTGTATAATGAGGTAAGTAGCTTAACTATGTTTAGTACCTTTGTGAATGACTATTAGTCCCATTATCCTGAAGCAGATAAAGAGAATCATTAAATGTGACTGGAGAGACAGAAGAGACACATCACATTATGGATGTGAGTTCAGGGGTTCATCTCATAAACTAAGAATTCAATAAATTGGACAGACCCAAAAGAGACTCTGCAGGCAGAATTCTAATTTATGCCTGTAACAGAATAAGAATTGTATCCACTAATATCTGACAGTCAAAATAGCCATTTCATATGCACTTAAAAATAGTGACAAACCCTTCATCACAAAGTTTTAAGCGTTCAAGGATTTAGTAATAAAAACTAAGTTGACCAAGCCAAATTACTGAAACACAAACAGAAAAATACCTCAAACATTGGACAGAAGCAACATCACAATACAGTAAATTGGAAGGCAATCTATCCCTAAACAAAGAGTGCAAACTGGCAGAACATTTGAGCAGAGTGACTAAGAAAAGTATCCAAAGATACAGTACATGCAGACAGGGACAGATATGAAAGAATCCAGACTGTGTCCCCACTGCACACAAATGAAGTGGAAACAGAAGTGCACTTTTTGACCTCATGTTTGAACTACACACAGACCAGGGACACTTCATTTCATAGCCCACCCCAAAGATTTCCATCTGAAAGCACACAAGGACAAACTCTCAGGCCTGCAATGTGAAACTCTAACAAGCTAAACCCCAGCTGCAAGCCATGTGAAGCCCTGACATGACAAAAGGGCAACCAGCAAAGGCCACCAACTATAAAACGACATCAGCAATATATAACAGACATTAAATGTTTCAAAATGTTTTTTTTTTAAGTCAAGCATACATATATTGTTACTGCTCTGTACAGCCAAGCCATTTGCGAGAATTAGTTTGCAGACTGCATAATCAATATTAATATTGGGAATACGTATGTAACTGTCCATAAATCCGTATATTTATTTGCCAAACAATGGACATTTTCTGCAAAGCTGTGCCAGTTACAGAGGGATTCAGATCCTCTGCATCCATTTACTGCTATGACTCGTCATTATTGTTGCGCATTCTCATTGGTTTGTTGGCCTGTGGATGATTTCATGCTCAAGGAAGGCTATCCATGAATTGCTCGCCCAAGCGGAAAACTATATCGTTGCTGCCAGATTTTGATTACCGAAAATCACATTATATTTGATGCCAAACTGACTCAAATCAATTGAAATAAAACGTTGTTACTGTATATTTTCATGTTTTCTTGAGCAAATTTTGATATCCACTAAAAACATTTTTTTAATAAATTTTTGGCATAGACAAAGTATGTTCAAGGTACACGTTATTTGGCAACATGCTTGAGCAAACTAGACAAAGTGAGGATTTTTATTGTTCCATTAATTTGCCATTTCCTGGCAACAGCCCTACTTTTAAATTGCCAGTGTTTCTTATTTGTGGTCTATTATAAATTAACTTCCTGGGGTCGGCGCCACCACTTGCAGATTTGAATTATAACAGTGAAAAGAACTTAAAATGCTCCGTCATACTTGATTGTACACATAAGAGTAATACAGCATTTAAATCTGTAAAGGGTCTACTTTTATTTGTGTACACTCACAATATCAACAAAACATTGTGCTTTTGATAATGACAAAAACTTTACTTTTTATGGAGTTGTCCTTGAGGGCTGCATGCCCTCAAATAATCTAACGAAATCAAAAATACATGTGACGGTGTAGTTCGACTGACAAACAACTGATTTGGGTTCTTTCTATTAATTATTCTAAAAGACTCATGAATTCACAAGCTTGATTCAGTCTGGCAAATCATTGAATAAACTGAATTGCAAAGAGTGGTTACTGAATTAACATCTGACTGACTTAATTTTCAAGGTATTATTATTTTTATTCCCCAATAAATGTCACAAACAAAGCCAAAGCAGGATAAATGACTCTCTGGTGGAATTTTCTGTCCAGCATAATGGGTAATGTAGTTTTTACCACAAATTCAGCGGTTATTTTAAAACTATGTTGAAATAATGCAAACGAATGGCTTCAACAGAAGTATGCCTTTAATTAACATCTTCCAAATTCACAGTTCTGTCTTTAAAGGTCTATAAATTATCATTAAAAATCAATTTCCCTATGGAGTTTTTACTTCCAGAACCCAGCTGTTGCACTCTATTTGTCTTAGTACACCACTCTGTCAATCAAATTCAAGGACCAGAAGTAACTGTCATAAATAAATATTCACTGCAAAACACAGAATTCTGTGGAAAACACTGGCATACATAATCTTACTAATAATTTGCCAATGTAAGCTTATTTTACTAAAAAGAATCCTGCTTCTGCTTGATATTTATGTCACTGTTTCTGTGGCTTTATCAGATGAGCCCGACACAAGATTGCACAAACAGAGCACATGTATTTTATCACATATCCTTCTGCTAACAAGCACAGAGCAAACGCAGAAGCAAGAGGCAAGGAGAGCAGAGAGCATAGAGGAAGGCTCGGCAGATCAAGAGTAGAGCACTATAGTTGGGTCTGTGCCCATCCATCTCATGGCTGAGCAGGAAACCAAGAATACCAGACACAATACACAATAGGCAGTTCTTTCTGGCAGCATCCTAACTGAACCTCATAAGTGACTAATTTGGCATGCTCTACATAGGCAGCAGTCCTTGCACAATAAAAAATAGCATGGCACATGGGAGTGATAGTCTAATAAGCATAAAAATATACAGCACACACAAATATTGAGTAAAATAACTAACTTGTTGACTGAACTTGGTGATGTGTGTACTGCTTCAAAACATTAGTCAGTCCCACCAGGATTTCATGATTTTTTTGCGATTTTTGCCTTTCAAATTTTCATATTTTTTGTTGAAAATTTGCATTTTTGGGGGGTATGTGTCAATCAGTGGGTGAGTATCGCATTAAGTTCTTTTTCACAGCTCATTGCACTTAATAACTCCTTTTAACATTAAGCACGTCCGCACTTTATTTTCTCATTCTTGCATATTTCTTTATCATGTGCGTCAAAGCGATTTGTCAGTGGACACAGCAAGAGCGTGCAAGTGTTTTGCTTAATACCAGTTTTATGTTTCTGTCGTTTAGAATACATATTTGCTAGTAGGGAGAATTCATTCGTTTACTGCTTTTTTATTTAAAACTTTATGCTGATTGTGCATGTTGTTTGCTGTTAGCTTTAATTAGAATCTACAAAAAAACTTTTTGTTACCTGTTCATTTGCAAAAAGTGGCAAAGTGTACCGCAGAAGTTTCAGTTTCAAGCCATTCGTGACCTATAGGCTTTGCTGTCCTAATTAGAAAGGCATGGACAGCTGTATTCACTCAAGTGGGTTAAGCTGTGTAATTAAGTGAAGTCAGTGCACTGACGCGGTAGCGTCAGCCCTCGTGTGAAGACCGATGAGGTAAAGACCTGCGACTCTACCTGTGTGACAACCAAGCAACGACACCGACAAGACACAGTAGTATCATTCTCTTATTCTACTTCCCTTCCACTCTTAGCCTCTTTCGACCTTCGGCGGCTTAACACCACAGGTACCCATAAATCAGGTAACCAACTCGACCTCATCTTTACACACAATTGTATTACAGATAACATCTCAGTCAAACACTTGCATGTCTCAGTTCATTTCTTTATTACTTTTAATCTACATCTACCTTCTTCCACACCACCAACCCTTCTGCTAGTTTCGTTTAGACAAAACCTAATGTCTCTATCTCCTTCTTGACTCCTCTGTGGTATCATCCTCTCTTCCCACCCCCCACACACTTCTCATCATTAGATGTGAATTGTGACACAGATATGCTATCTACCCTAACTAGCTGCCTAGACAATATCTGTCCTATTTCTGCCAGACCAGTACGTGCTACTCCCTCCAACCCCTGGTTAACTGATGTGCTCTGTGAGCATTGGACTAAACTCAGGGCAGTGGAGAGAAAATGGAGCAAATCAAAAGATTCAGCTGATCTCAGCAGGTATAAGTCACTGCTATCTTCATTTTCCACCAAAGTCCACGCTGCCAAAACTACCTTCTTCCATAACAAGATCAACAGCGCATCAGACACATGCAAACTCTTCAAAACATTCAATACTCTCATTTGCCCCCCTCTGCTACCTCCCACCACCTCTTTAACTACTGACGATTTTGCAAATCACTTCACAAACAAAACCCCATCCATCAGCAGTCAGTTCTCGGCTCGACTCACCCAGGATCTCTCACTCACACTCACACAGCTGACCATCTTCTCTCCTCCTTCTCTCCTCTTACAGAAGATGAAGTCTTTAAACTTATTCTCTCCACCCACCCTACCACATCTCCTCTAGACCCATTCTCCTCACATCTCCTACCAGTGGTGTAATGTAACAAAGTAATAATACTTCGTTACAGTACTTAAGTATTTTTGGGAATATCTGTTCTTTACTTGAGTTTTTATATTTCAGCCAACATTTACTTTACTCCACTACATTTCCTAATTAAAAGGTATACTTTTACTCCGATACATTTTCCCGAAGCATATTCGTTATTTACTACAAAATAGTCAGCAGTCAGAAGAACATGGACTGCAGGAAAGCAGGTTTGACGAATCAGTGGTCTAGCGCTTGCAAGTTAGACTCCTAAAACACCTTTGTTCATGTGCAAACAAGTGTGCGCACAACCGCGGATTTACAGAAGATGAAGTCTTTAAACTTATTCTCTCCACCCACCCTACCACATCTCCTCTAGACCCATTCTCCTCACATCTCCTACCAGTGGTGTAATGTAACAAAGTAATAATACTTCGTTACAGTACTTAAGTATTTTTGGGAATATCTGTTCTTTACTTGAGTTTTTATATTTCAGCCAACATTTACTTTACTCCACTACATTTCCTAATTAAAAGGTATACTTTTACTCCGATACATTTTCCCGAAGCATATTCGTTATTTACTACAAAATAGTCAGCAGTCAGAAGAACATGGACTGCAGGAAAGCAGGTTTGACGAATCAGTGGTCTAGCGCTTGCAAGTTAGACTCCTAAAACACCTTTGTTCATGTGCAAACAAGTGTGCGCACAACCGCGGATTAAGTCGAGGCTGGGGTGTGCGATATACAGTATATCTGCAATAATATGGTAAGTGTTGTTGTAATGATGTGCGATCTGACATTATCAAGTAGGCTATATCAGTGTTTCCCAAACTTTTTTTAGTTGCGGCACCCTTTGGAAATTTTAACAAATTTGTGGCACCCTACAAAATTAATTTTGTCACAATATTTGAATTTCTAACTTCGATACTTTGAGAAGTATAGATATTCGGTACAGCAGGGAAGAACTGCAGAATATACGGTCATACAGATATCTTTTAATATTTTTTTTTTTTTAAAAAGGTCCATCAATGGTGGCAATCAGTAGACTAATTTCTAATGAAAAGACCAATTTATATGACAGATTTTAATGTAGGCTTTTATATGTAAACATTGTGAGATAGCTAGTTATAATGGTAATTAAACAAAGTTTTGCTCACTCAGTGTATTTTTGATTTTACAGCTGGGTAATTTTGTTGCAGTAGCACGAGATAGCTTGATTTAAAACTTTGAATTGAATAAAAAATGACAAGGAGGCTAAGCAGTAAATAATAAAATAAGAACAAATAAAGAAATTACTAATGATAGCACAAATAAAAAACAACAATAGGCCTACAAATGAAATAAATAGCTTTTTAGTTTTTCAGTTAGGTCTAACAAAAACAAAAACTTAAGTACGTTTTAGATTAAAAAAATACTTTTCGTACTTAAGTTCAATAAAAATCACATACTTTAAGACTTTTACTCAAGTAATATTCTAAACGGTGACTTCAACTTCTACCAAAGTAGATAGTTTATACACCACTGTCTCCAACAAGCTATTTCCCTTGCACTTCTGCCTTCATTCACACACATCATCCCATCTCTTCTCACAAGCATTTTTCCCACCGCATTCAAGCAGGCTCGGGTAACCCCACTGCTTAAAAAACCAATAGACACCTCACTTGTTGAAAGTGTCTCTCCTCCCTTTCATAGCAAAATCACTTGAACACATTGTTTTCAACCAAGTGTCTTCCTTCCTCTCACAGAACAACCAGCTGGACAATAACCAATCTGGATTTAAAAGTGGACATTCAACTGAAACCGTCTTGATGTCAGTCCCTGAAGTGCTACGGAGTGGAAGAGCTGAGTCCAAATCTTCAGTTCTCATTCTCCTAGATCTATCTGCTGCATTCAACACTGTTAATCATCAAATCCTTTTGTCCACCCTCTCATCGCTGGCCATCAACGGAACTACACTCCACTGGTTTGAGTCTTACCTCACAGGTAGGTCCTTCAGTATGGCTTGGGGAGGAGAGGTATCCAAATCACATAAACTGGCCACTGGGGTTCCTCAGGGATCAGTTGTTGGGCCCCTCCTCTTTTCTATATACACTACATCACTGGGACCCATCATGGTTTTTCCTATCATTGCTATGCTGACATGCAGCTCTACCTCTCCTTTCAACCAGATGATTCAGTGGTGCCTGCTCGGATCTTAGACTGCCTGACGGACATCTCAGCATGAATAAAAGAGCATCCCCTGCAGCTCAACCAGAACTTCTTGTAGCGTCTGGACCACTCAAACACACAATATATATTTTGTTAGCTAGATTTAACAAATACTCTGTAACACCCCAGGAAGCCGAACAGGCCCCTGGTTCCATAGCAACACTGACACCAGATACATTTACGATCTAAAGGAATGTGAGCAGAGACTCTCACTGCATTTTCCAGAGCAAGAGGCACAATGCACCGTAGAAATGGACTTTTCTACTAAGTAATTCATAGGAAAACCTTTCTTTGAATGAACAGTGTATCCTTCAGGTCATTGTGTATATTATTGTCATCGTGTATTTGGTCTTTGAGAGTGTATACTGTTTTATGCAGGCTTATGATCGAAATACTCACTCCTGCCAGCTTACATATATTTAACCCTACCATGTTTAGTATCTATGAATTCGTATTCGGATGATCTAATTGAGAGTGTATATTGTATGTTTACACCTACGCAACATATTAGTGTTCTAAGAATCTTTATTAGTTTGTGCATCCGCACCCCAAGTGAATTACATGTGCAAATTACCATGCTTAGAGACAAAGGGTCATAAAACCCTCCAGCAATTGCCACCTCCCGCTTGGAATTTCTGTATCTCTCATTGGACAAGCCCACCTTGAGAGGCGTGACTATTCTCCGACCTTAAAGGCCCACACCAGGGACCCTCTTCTTTTGTAGAATTGTACAGTAAGAAAGTTATTTCCCTTAACCAGGAAATCAACGTTCTTAGAATTGACAAGACAGCTGACCCTGAGAGGTCAGCTAAATATCTACAGTGGATCTAAATATTCATAATT